CTCTAGCAATAAAGGAAATACAAATTAAAACCACACTAAGATTCCACCTCACCCCTGTTAGAATAGCCATCATCAGCAACACCACCAACAACAGGTGTTGGCGAGGATGTGGGGAAAAAGGAACCCTCTTACACTGTTGGTGGGAATGTAGACTAGTACAACCACTCTGGAAAAAAATTTGGAGGCTACTTAAAAATCTGGACATCGATCTACCATTTGATCCAGCAATACCACTCTTGGGGATACACCCAAAAGACTGTTACTCCAGAGGCACCTGCACATCCATGTTTATTGCGGCACTATTCACAATAGCCAAGTTATGGAAGCAGCCAAGATGCCCCAGCACTGACGAATGGATTAAGAAAATGTGGTATCTATACACAATGGAATTTTATGCAGCCATGAAGAAAAACGAAATGTTATCATTCGCTGGTAAATGGATGGAATTGGAGAACATCATTCTGAGTGAGGTTAGCCTGGCCCATAAGACCAAAAATCGTATGTTCTCCCTCATATGTGGACATTAGATCAAGGGCAAACACAACAAGGGGATTGGACTTTGAGCACATGATAAAAGCGAGAGCACACAAGGGAGGGGTGAGGATAGGTAAGACACCTAAAAAACTAGCTAGCATTTGTTTCCCTTAATGCAGAGAAACTAAAGCAGATACCTTAAAGCAACTGAGGCCAATAGGAAAAGGGGACCAGGAACTAGAGAAAAGGTTAGATCAAAAAGAATTAACCTAGAAGGTAACACCCACGCACAGGAAATCAATGTGAGTCAATGCCCTGTATAGCTATCCTTATCTCAACCAGCAAAAACCCTTGTTCCTTCCTATTATTGCTTATACTCTCTCTACAACAAAATTAGAAATAAGGGCAAAATAGTTTCTGCTGGGTATTGTGGGAGGGGAGAGGGAGGGGGCAGAGTGGGTGGTAAGGGAGGGGGCAGAGTGGGTGGTAAGGGAGGGGGTGGGGGCAGGGGGGAGAAATGACCCAAGCCTTGTATGCACATATGAATAATAAAAGAAAAAAAATTAAAAAAAAACAATAAATATCCTTTTTATTCTTTTTTTTTCTTAGTGGATATCAGATATTTATGCCAGTCAGTTTTCTATTTGAGAAAAATCAACTTATTAAAGGAGGAAAGTTTTGTTTTGTCTCATAGTTTCAATCCATAGTCTTAGGCCTGTGGCAAGGAAGAAACATCTTGATTGACAGGTATGGTGGTCAACCTCATGGCAGATAGGAAGCAGAGAGAGAGGCAGGAACAGGCCAGCAACAAGATATATTCTTCAGTGACCTCCAGGGACCTCCAACCAGGCTCACCTCCAAATAGCACATTCAGCGTGAACTCATGAATGGATTAATCCACTGATGAGATCAGTGCTCTCAGGTTCTAATCAAATGTCAATAAGGCCATCAACAGGGGACCAAGCTTTCAACATATAAGCCTTTTGGGGAGATTCTTCATATCAATCCACACAAGGAATTATAACTTATTTTATACATTTGTTTAATATTTCCTCTTTGAAGTCTATATTTATGAATCAGTATATATTGACCTACTTTACTATTTTTAATGATCACATATCCACTGTATGGTGATATCAATCTTTGCATGTTTTATTTATTTGATGATTAATATTTTTCAAACTATTTTTCTTTTAAAAAGAAGAAGAAACCACTGCATAAGACTATGCAAATGTATACAAGGTACGAGAGATATTATATATTGTCTAGAAATAGAAAGCTATATTGACTGATATATACATTTAATATTTTAATAAATACTGTCATGTTGCTTTTCCAAATAGTTGCCCTGATTTATACTGTAAATAAAGGTTTTATACAGTTAAGGTTTCCCCATATCCTGACTGGTCAAACCTGGCTATAAATGTATATAATTATTGCCTGATTAGAAAAAGCAGATTTCATTATTTAACTTCTATTTTCTTAACCAATAAAATTTAATATTTTCTATCATTTGTCAGATTTATGATCCAGATTTTATGTAGTTATTTAATATCTTCCTCATTTAGTCTGTAGACTTGACTTTGTTTACTAGTGTATCTGCAGAATCTGGCATTTTACACACACACACACACACACACACATACACACATACCCACACACACATAAACACAATGTATACATAGGTGGGGTAAATTAAAAGACTGGATAAATTTGAGTTTTAATATTTGCATTATTAAGTTGCCTATTCTCATGTTATTCCTTCGCAATTATTTTGCCTATGTACTTTTTATTTGTAAATGGTCATGTATGTTAGAAATACGTCAATTACTTTTCACCAGGTTCTAGTTATTTTCTCCTAGTTGTAACTCTTTAATCCTTATTGTTTTTTTCTCTTAAACAAGTTTTATGTTCATGTATCATTTTCCAGTTTTTCTTTTAAGTCATGAATTACTTTATCTGCTATAAGAAGTTTTCTATATGCAAAGGAAAGACAGGGAACCTTATTGCCTCGATTCTCTGTAATTAAATACCCTGATAATTGCACAGAGGCTTCATCTTGGTCTTTCTTTATATGTGCTCACTGCGTTGTTGGCATTTCATTTGCCTTTGAAGTTTTCAGTTGTGTGTGTTTGATGCTTGTTTTCCCTGTTCCTCCACTCTTTCTTTGATAATCTGATCTCATCTGTTTTCTATTTTTCAGTAATTTACCCAATGTTTCATCCATTTATGACAGTTTCTGTCTCCATCTTCATTTTAAAATTGTTCCTTTCAAAATATTTTCCCTTTAATTGCAACGGATATGGCAGAAGTAGTGGTAATGGGGTGATATATGTACATATAGTTCACTGTCATGACCCAATTGCCAAAATTTTTAAAGAGCTAGAAATTAGTATATCCATGTTAACTCACTGTGATATTTAAAGGACACCTACATATTAAAAACCTAAAGGTAAAAACATTTTAATGGAAAAGGCAAGGAACAGTCAAATATTAATATGAAAATGAAGTATTAGCTTATACACTCACATAACACTTTTTAATAAAGGAAATTAATCCATTTTCATTTATATATTGGAATTCTTAAAACATTTCATAACTTTTAATATTTCTTTTAAAACTGCTGACTTTTTAAAGTTGATATTATTTTTTTCATCTGAAGTGTGAGCTATGTATATACTGTACATGGTTAAATTTTATTAAAAAAAAATTTTAACTTAATATATGTTTTCCTTACAATGACAAAAATGAGCCCTACAACTTTGATTCCAACCAACACCAGCTCTTTAGCATGTGGACAACAACATGCAGTAAGGTAAACTTTTCTTTTGGTTGTACAGAGAGCTAGGCTTATGGGTACAGGGGTTCTTTATAGGGCACTATTCCACTTTGCATTCCAGTTCTACAATGTTTTCTATCTTAATGAGTTTTCTGTTGCTATAATAAAATACCTGAAGCTGGATATTTATACAGAAAAGAGGCATATTTAGCTCACAGTTTTGGAAGTTGAAAGTCCAAGATTGGGTGACACCATCTGTTTGGTCTCTAGTGAGGGAACCCATGATTGCATCACAGTATGGCAGAACAGTGAAAATAAAACAAGCTGTGTTCAGAAGTAGTCAAAAACATGGGATGTTGTTGCTTTATAAAACCCGCACTCAAAAGAACTGCAGTTCTGCACAAATGATTTTGATCCCTTCTAAGGGTGGTTGCCATCAATGATTGAACCACTTTCCACAAGGCCTCACCTCTTCGAGGTTCCATGGACTTCAGTGTGGCCATATTGGGAACCATGCTTCCCATACATCTACCATTGTAAGATCCACTCAACCATACTGCCTTCCTCTGGAAAACACCTCGCCTTATTAAAAGAGTCATTTTTGTGGTTGTAGCTTAAAGGAAATTCTTAAGCCTGGTCCTTTCAGCTTGAGATAAGAAAAGCTGTGCTCATCACACTGTCTGGTAACAAATTTACCAGATGGCCACTGACAAAGCTGTTCTCATTTACAACCCTTCTGTCTTTGATCTTGATAACAATATTAGAGTGGCATACTAGAATATTCTCTGTATTATTAGTGGTTCCTGTAGCTCCAATGGGTTTTATTCTTAATTTCACTCTATTTACATATCTGACAAAAATTTCTAAATGCTTTGGGCTTACCAGTTTTCCTACTCTGCTCCCTCATTTTTTATATATCTTCTATCATCTTAGTGTGAGTTTAAGAGAAAGAATATAGGAGTGCTGCATTTAATCAGTCAGCTTCCTCTGACTGGAAGTTTATAATTAAAAATATCAAAATGAAGACTCAAATCACATAACAATATAGTTTTATTGAGTTATAGGAAGAACACATAAAAATAAAATATCTGAGTAAAATTTAACCATTTATTGAAAATCAGAAATTTATGTATTAGAAAGCACTTTTAAGTGACCATCCAAACTGTTAACTATCTAATGTAGTATTTAAAATCTTTATTATTAAGGCAAATATTTAGTTACACACTAAATCCCTGAAAGAGAAAAAAGAACAATTGACTAAAGTTTATATCAATTAAAGCAAATCTAAGTGTTACTAAATTAAAGAAATTCTTTTGCATGTTAAGGGTATGTAGCCCATGTTTAATGTTACCTCCCTCCCAAACTCATACTGAAGAATCACATACAACAGTTCTGAGTGTGTGATTTTTCTGATTTTACTTTTCTGTTGCATTCAGTAAAAGCTATGCTTTGAATTGTGATCTTTCCCCAGGCTAGTGATGCGCAGTATGATCCTCTCTTGGGATGCTGGGCATAAACAGCGAGCAGCAGCTTCCATTGAGGTTAAACAACTGATTCTTCACAGTGTACTGTGTCGCTAAGTGTGATGTTTGATAGGCGAGGCATATTAAGTGCATTTTTGATTTATGACATTTTCAACTTATAATGGGTTTATTGAGATGCAACCTTACTAACTTTACTGTAAGTCAAGGAGCATCTGTATTTAGCCCCCATTCATTGAAAGAAAGCACTTGAAAATCTCATATGTAAAATATTAAAATTTCAACTTCTCTGATATTATATGATCATAAAGCTCTTTGGTCAATGGAACATAAGCTTTTTTAAAGTTATCCAGAAAGTAAAGCGGATCAGAAATTTTCAGTGGATTAAATCCTTCTTCCACCAAGTGAAACTTCTGTAGTTTGAATGTCCCTGTTGTTTCCATTTTTTCCTATAAAACAATTACCAGGATGAGTGGAATAACTTATTACTATCCATACAGTCATTATACAGAAATAAAATATTTAACACCATAGACCACATTTCATTGTAATATTTTGTATCTAAAAATATTCTCTACATATACTATTAAAACTTTATCATTAGATATAAAAATGTTTTGGAAAATATTTAAAACTTTGATTTACCTCTAAAATTTATTAAAATAATTGTTCAATACATAAGAATTAAAATAATTAATAAACTGATTATTAATGGGTGGAATACATATCCTCTCTCTTCAAACCAATGCCAAACAATAGTATGTGTACAGAACAGTATTTCAAGTTAAGTTAAAAGTTATAAAAAACAAAAATTTGCTATAGAAATTTTCTGTAGTGGTTATGACAATTTGTGTTTCTACAAGCAGAATGAAGGAACCAAGTTAGCTTTATTCCAGCAATACAGGGTATAATCATATTTAAAATTATTGAAGTTATTGGTAAAAATAATCCCCTTTAGAAAATCTGTGCTAGATTTTTAATAAGATGCTTGTTTTAATCATTTTATCAGAATTAATTTTAGTTTTGGATTTTATCAGATCATTTATTAGTATAATTCATTTATTAAATAAATATTTTGATTGATGACTAAGGATCAAGTTTTGTGCTAACTCTAGAAAATGCTGTGATAAACATAACACTAATGGCCCATGAGCTTTATAAATATTTAAGGATAATGAAATATTTTTTAAACTTATGAAAAGCTGACTTAGTCTTCTAGAAAAGTCTGATGCCAAAATTTATCTTCTGCTTTAGGAAAGTAAACTTTAAGTTGCCTTAGAGAAATGACCCTTAAAATATTATTGGCTCTATCAACTTTCCAACCTATCAAAAATATTACTTAAGGGATAGTATGGAGAGGGACAAGAGGGAATAGAGCATGGTTATAAAAGGACTACATGAAGAACATCCTTTAGGTTCTGCATACTTCCTGCAGAAGCATTGACGTCTGCTTGGTGGAACCTAATTACAGACAAAGAGCACCATGTGTCTTCACAGATATGTGCAAGGTATGGTTTTAACTGTTACCTTCACTGGGACTACCACTTCCTCTCTGGTCCTAACTGCAGAGGAAGAGAGCAATTCTATAATAGGGACAAAGACATATATATGTATATATGTATATATTTGTCATTTCATCAAAATTCCTTCTTATTTAAGCTTCAAATATGGCATCAATTGGTATCAACTCTACCTCCCTATGTTTTTGTTACTCTTCAAATTTTCTAATATAAATAAAATACATTATCTAAGAGATGCAGTACTATTTTCCTATTAAACTGCCTCCTAGTTTCCTGACCTTAAGTTTAGTAGTACATTTAGACCATAAAATTACCTGAATTCTTAGAAATTGTGGACAGGCATAAGCTGGTAGAGATGTTATAACTTGTTCATACATTTTTTCTAAATCTAAAGACTTATTTGGTTTTAAAATAATAGAAGCCATTCCTGCTTTTCCTTCATAACCTGGAAAAAAGTTTGGAACAGAATCAATTTTATAAGTACTAGACGAGTTTTAAAAAAATATTCCAGCTTTGTATCCACTGTCACATGGATATTACATCTGTGACAACAATGCAACAGCAGCATAAATGAGTGTATCTTTTCCTAAGCATATGATTTACTCCTTACAAAGAATATAACAATAGGAAAGGCCATAGTCTATCCCTAATTGTCCACACTACAGAAAATAAATAGAATGCAAAATTCTATAAATTACCCAGAACTGGCATCCTAACCACTAACAAAAATATTAAGAAAGAAACTTTATAGTCCAATATATTCCAGTGGAAATGTACATTTTTAACAATGCAAAAAAAAAGGAAGGGTGTATTTTAAGTTAAAGAACAAGGAACTGGTATTTCCATAATAAGTACTGCCATCACACCATCTATAGATCTCAGCAGGAACCAGAATGTCCTGGAGACTTTCTCCAAAACCCAGTGGCCACTTAGTAACTAAATATCCCCTTTCTCTGCTCTCATATCCAAACACCCCCACCCTGGCATCTCCCAAACCTACAAGCATAGCTGGAAAATATTGACATTTGCTTTAAAAACACGTATCTATATCTATCTATCTGTACAACTTCAAATTGGTCACTTTTCTATGTCATTGCCATCATCATATATATCTTTTAAACATAATGATAACATAAAAATTTTCAAATAACCCACCTTAATTTAGTATTAAGCATTTAAACTCCAACACATTCCTGTTCAGTGGTCTGTACCAACATTGGTCATAACAAGAAAAACAACGGGCCATCCAAAGCTTCAGCTACTTTCTAATAGCGAGTCACTGACAAAAATTTTCAAGCTCTGCTTAAAAGTATACACAGACATTATATGTCCATGAGGCTTGTTACCTAAATCAAGGCATTACCTACCAAGAAAAGACTGAGATATTTATTTTAATAGGTAAAAATTAAGATGGTGAATTAGTAAAATAACTTAAAAACTAAACAATAGCTAACATTCTATTCAGAGAATCCTTCAAGGTTGGAAATGTATTGTTACCTGATACAGGCACACCATACACATTGGTCTCCTGTATGAAATCCAACATCCCAATAACATCAGCAACCTCAGTGGTTGCAACATTTTCTCCTTTCCATCTAAATAAAACACAAATTCCAAGTCAGTACAACCATACTTGAAAAGCTAGGTCCTCACTCTCAGTAGCAGTGCCTGCATTTGGCTCTCTGCAAGCACCTCATGACCAAAAATAACTAATAGTTTTCAAAACAAAAGCCATTTCTAAGAAAGCATTTTACTGGTAATTCAACAAAACCAGTCTCTTTTCTTTTTTTAGTTAAAATTATTTTATCTATGTCTTACTGGTATACATTTCTCACTATAAAATATTTTATAATGTATAATAAAAATAAAATAATGAGGGCTATCATTACAAAAGCATTTATTTTGTAATAACAAAAATCAAGTTTAAACCGTTCCCTATCTCTGGTGTTAGCAATATGAAGAGTTAAAAGAGAACCTATGGTTGTCTTTTAGTATACTGATACACTTTAATTGCTAGCCATTAACTCCTTTAATTCATATGAATGAATATTTTATTTTAGTGAAATGCTTTTATGTAAGATGAGCTTTTAACATGTTAGGAAAAATAACTTATTTATTCATTCAAGCATTTGCTGAATACTTAGCCACGCCCCTCCCCCTCAGTTCAGATGGCAATCTGCTGGCTTTGCCCTCCCCATGGTTTAGTATAAGCATTGAAAGCACCTGAAAAAGAAAAGCACACTCTCTCTCTGCTGGCAGACTCCACCTGCAATGCATCATGCTCCATTTTTATTTCCTTTCCTAACTTTTAATAAACCCATTTATACCCATGTGTTCTTCTTGGATTCTTCCACATGGAAACACAAGGACCAAGGTCTTCTGAAAACACCGTTTGTTGTCAACATTTGGCAAGGCCAGACAGGAGGCTCATGGTGAGCTCCCAAACCCTACACTTTAGAGGGTCACTGTCATTCTTTTCACTGTTTTCCCTTCTGCACTGCAAAGGGAATGGACTGAGCTCTGTCCTCAGGGAAAGTAGCTGGGAAATGCTAGATCAGGACCCAGCATTGTCCGCCCAACAGGTGCACCTCCCTGCAGGTCTTATTGCAGAGGGAGGTAGCAGCGTCTGTCTGCCCAATGCATGCTCCCCTCATGGCTTGGGGCTCAGGAGAATGGGTAGGCCAGGGCGCCTTAAGCTGCACCTTGCTTTCCCTTTTTCCTCCCTAACCCTTTACCCTCTTCCCCATCCTCTCCTTTGGGGATAATAGTTGTTGTAGGAGATCATACTCTAAGGTCTGTAACCACCACGTGGCTGGGGTCAATTAGGAATGCCTCTGGCTGAGTTTCTTGCCCTCCCCCTTTTCTTCCTCTTTCTCTCCCCTAATCAGCCGTTTTACAGCCCCAGCTATGACAGCACTAGCTGCTGCTAGCTCCAGCCGCTGGGGAGGGGCGGGAACACATCACTGTGTTCCCACAGTGTTCCCACAGCTTCCAGAGCTGGCCACATGGACAACAGCTTAGACCGCATGGCGCATAGCAATGTGCAGTGAGGGGAGGGCGCAATGGCGGCGGGGCGCAGCGCATGGCAGGTAGCACGTGCAGCCTTAGCAGTGGTGTGCACAACTGCACGCCCCAGGAACCAGCGGCTACCAAGGGTCCATAGCCTTCTCCCTCTTCCTTCTCTAAACTGCTCCCTTCCCTGCCTCTGTTTCCCCTGGCCACTTGATCCCAGTTCTTGCCCACATTCCCCTTGCCCCATAGCCTACAGGGATTGAGGAAACACCTTGAGTCACACTGCCTTCTGCCACGGCTAAAGTTTTATTTTTAATACAAAGTGAAAAACCTCGATCAATTAAAAAAAACCAAATCTATTTGGCGGAACTACCACTGTCTTCATAAAAGCTTTATTTTTGTTACTGCTGCATACCTAGATCTGTGTAGCTGTGATGTTATTACTGCCTTTAAATATTAAATATATTTAAATTTTCTTAAGTATGATTTCTAAAATTAAAAACAGTGCCATTTAATTAAGGATCTGACATTGGTCACCCATAAAGTATATCTGTAACAAAAAAATTTTAACTTATTTAAAATTCATTTACTCTACAGGCAAAATTTAAAGGGAAAATTCATTCTTTTACTAAGATACCTTTTTTACACTAAAATATTAATTTTAAATATATACTTGAGATAAGAAAAGCTTAATAGTACTCATTAATGCTGTCATCATAATTATTATTCTAAAATGCAATATCCAATAACTATTTGAAAACATTCTAACTCTGTTATTTGATAAAATTTTATCTTCTGATAAAATTAGGCTTACGTACAGCCACGAGGTCAGAAAGAATGGGTGGTTATGTGTGGGTATTTTAAATAGGCAATTTAATTAGAGGTTTTATTCTTAACAATTATTTTTGTTAAAATTAATAAAAACTTTATTCTCTATGGCTCATTGTAGTGTGTCAGACTCTGAACTTGTTTAAGGTCCTTTCCAAACTGTAGCTCTGTAAATGGCTGGGTTCTACAGGACTTGAATTCTTGGCTTTTTTGGTAATAACAAAACCCTTTTATGAGAAAACCCAGGATCTAATCGTAAACACCTGGAGTAAAATGGACACTAACAAAGCTTAAAGATTTACTGCCATTTGCCCTAGCCCTAGTAATAATAAATTTAGATAAGCCTTTAAAGCTAAAAGACAGGACATTAAATTCAGAGAAAGAAAGTCCTATAACCTATGACCAATTCTCCAAAACTGTCAAGTGAGATCACACCCCAGGAAGCTAACACAACTTTTTCAATCCCACCTAAGCTTGCTTCAATTTGGTTTTTTCATTAGCATGCCTCACTCATGGACACCTGTCTCTCAGAGGGAGATGTCATGTAGTCCTATAATAGATTGTTATTTTGAGCCTGTATGTTTCATGTAACATGTCTTTGTGTTGCATTTGAGAGGCCCTTTGGAGAGACCATGTGGTCACAGGGAATGCTGCCACCATAAAGGAGCCACCATGTGTCCAGCGCCATCTTGCCACTCCCTAGGAAAAGGAAACTCATGGGTGATGCCGTCTTGCCATCCTCTAGGAAAGTTATAACTAAATTGTGGTTAAAATTCTCTAGATTAATATAGTTTTTATATATGTTGTTTTTCTACATTGGTCTGTTAAGGATTGGACAAAGGGTAGAGTGTTTGTATTGGAGATCTGTTGTAAACATACACTTAGATTAAATATATACTTATATTAGCTGACTTAATCTACTAAAGATAACAAATGGTTTATTTAATAAGAGTAAACTCTAAATTAATGTAATTGTTTTGTGTGTTATTATGTATGTCTTTTCTCCTACCAATTGTGGCCACTTAATTTTTACTTTTTGAGGTCATTATGCATGCTTATATTCTTTGGCATGCCTCGATCAAAACATCTCTGGGTGGTGTGTGTGTGTGTGTGTGTGTGTGTGTGTGTGTAGATGTCTTTAGGATATTTCTCAAGCTGCTTTTTTTTTTTTTTTTTTCCTGAATAGTCTTATATCTTTATTCTTCAAATTCACTTTCTTTTTTTTTCTTTTTTTTTCTTTTATTATTCATATGTGCATACAAGGCTTGGTTCATTTCTCCCCCCTGCCCCCACCCCCTCCCTTACCACCCACTCCACCCCCTCCCGCTCCCCCCCCCTCAATACCCAGCAGAAACTATTTTCCCCTTATCTCTAATTTTGTTGTAGAGACAGTATAAGCATTAATAGGAAGGAACAAGGGGTTTTGCTGGTTGAGATAAGGATAGCTATACAAGGCATTGACTCACATTGATTTCCTGTGCGTGGGTGTTACCTTCTAGGTTAATTCTTTTTGATCTAACCTTTTCTCTAGTACCTGTTCCCCTTTTCCTATTGGCCTCAGTTTCAAGCTGCTTTTATAAAGTTAAAGGTATAATTGTCTCAAAAGTTATCTAAAGTTCTAGTTTCACCCAGGCCTAAAAAGTCTCTGCCTTAAAACTAAAAAAAAAAAAAAAATTATAAGCAATAACCTCTGTTTCATTCTATCATGAGAGTAATTTACATTTAACTCTTTTATAGTTAGATTTTATAGGTAGGTTTATTGAAGCATGTGTTCTTGTAGATTGCTATTTCTGAAAAGATGGTTTAATATTATCTTCTTCCTAAGTCTTTTAAGGCATAAGGTTTCTAAGAGTTTTATTTAAAACAGTATTATCTAAATTCAGGTTTTTACAAAGGTTGTTTCAAGATACAAATTAATGTCTTTAAGCTTATAAGCTTATATGCGTGTAATTAGGTTGACTATAGTCTAAAGTTTGCCTAGAGAGTTTTCTAAGGTCAAAATTTAAGGTACTAATGTATACTAAAAAATGGGTTTCTATTTTATCAAAACAACTATCAAGATCTTTTGCTGCTGGAGGCTGATACAAAATTTTACCAAAACCAAACAAAAGCTCACCCTCCAAATGGAATGATAAAACCTTAGATTTTTAGGAGTCTACAAAGAGGTAATTAATCCTAAAACACCAAATTATTGACATCGTTAACTCCCAATGGCTGAGCCTGTTATCTTGGGGCTCCAGGGGCTGCATGCAGGTTAACAGCAACCCTGGCATGTGTCCCAAGTCATAATGCTAGGTAATATCAACAGTATAGGATGTAATTTCTTAACAGCATTTAAGACCTGGCCCTCAGTCATTGGATCTCCTAACTTTATGCACATCCCCTTATCTCTGTTTCTGTATCTAATTATTTGAGACATTAATCTTAATTGGGTTATTATTACTTAATAATTTTGTATTGGTTGCACAAAAAGTTCATATTAAGATGTTTCCCTTGTAACAATCAACAGACTGTCTTCCTACATATTGTTTAAACATCAGAATTATTACGCACTGGGCAAAGAGACTGACACCAAAACAACATGTAAAATGAAAAGATAACAATATGGTAAGTGGTTAGGTAAACATTCAGAATCAGCCCACGATGTTTATCTGACATTGACTAAATAATATATGTGATATACAATTGACCATCAAAACAGGGGTTATTTAGAATTACAAACACTGTCTTTCCCTAACCATTGAAAAAGTTAGGGTTTTTAATTGTCACTACTATATTGACAGTACTGACAACCACTACCTTGTTAATTTACCTAACCAAAATTCAAGGTTTAAATTGTAATTAACCATGGTTACTTCCAGTTTTATCATTATAGTTCTGATCTGTCAAGAACATTTACAGGCAAGCCCATGAAAAATGACTCTGACAAGTGCTTATCTATCAACCAGGACAGATAGTCTTTAAATATTGGGGTCATTTTGTCTTTTCCTTGTAAAGCTTTATAACTGTTGTCTGCTGATACTTCACAGCAATTTAAAGGTGTCAGTACATTCCCTATGGGACAATTAGATTGATATAAGGCCAGCCTAAGAGCCATTTTTTAAAATAAATCTCTTTGTTGCTTAATTTGGCCAAAAAGGTCACATTGGCACTGACTTCTGATCTGTTAAATGTGTTGCTTCCCCTCCTCTGTGGACAAAATCTGACTTTCTGGACTTCCCAGGATAAGCACTCCTGTCCTGAGGGACAAAAGTGCCAAATTGACATAATCTTCAGAGACAACTGTTTGGAGAAACAGTTTAAGAGGATGTGACCCCGCAAACAGTCAGGATCCCCCCATTTCTCAGAGAAATAATTGGCATTGGACCATAGGAGACAGTTCAAAAGGGCTGCACAAATGAGGGGACATTTCCAGATGCAGATGGAAGTCAATTATGCCAGAACTCTAAAAGTAACCAAAGCTGAGACATTTTAAAAAGGGGGCTCTTACACATGTGCTCTAATATTTAAGACTTAGAGGCTTTCGGCAAAAGGCAGTCATGTCTTTGGGCAAGGCCTTCTGTTTAAACAAAGGCAATTTAACTTTCAATGGTATCTACCTTCTGCTTAAGGATGCTGTGTGTCTTCTTCCTATACAAAACTGACTTATTAATGTTTACTCTCTAATTGGACTGACACCTGCTCCCTGGTACACCTGGTCCTTAGTATAGTCAGCCCACTATAATGACAGTCCAAAATAGAGGGCCATCTAGGAGTTAAAAATAGCTACAGATACAAACACCCATAGGCAAAATAACCATAAGACTCTCTGTGACTTTTCAAAATTACTTTATCCTTCCTGCTACACCTGGCAGGGCCCTTTCTGATGCTCCTATCATTGTTAATGTTTGGGTCATGCATTCGAAACCAAATTTATCCCTTCCAGAATAAAAGCCTTTAGGACCCAAATCTTGAGGCAACAAGGCTATCGATCTCTACAAATAAATGAGGTCTTCATAAGCAACCCAGATCTCCATGAGGAACCTTGACTATGCTGGACAATAATTCAGACACCTTATGTCCAAATGAGCCCCAAGGAAAAAAGAGACAATTTCCCTTTATAGGTGGGGTCTGCTGCCCCTTGTCAGCTCGAAACAGATATTGAAGAGGGACCACCCCCTCTTCAGCAATCCCCCAAAAACAATTTTTTGTAATATTGTCTCTCAAGGGGAATTTCAGGTAGGCTAGAAGTAGGAAAAGTTTGGGGCTCATGTAAGTTGTCCAGGGATGGCCCAGACCACCCTTACCTGGCTGGGAACCACCCACGCCCCTCCCCACTCATTCATTATTGGGTGGGTGGAGTGAACTTTCTCTTACTCCTGTTATTACTGAACCTAACTGGGGCTGGCTGGGGATGACGTGAGATGCAGAAAGGACAAATAGACAAACATGCATAAAGCTGGGGCCAGGTATGCTGGGTGCTCGGATGGTGATGCATGACACCCTTGTTGCTTCTTTTCTCTAATAAATTTTCTTTTACTTCACTTCTTTTCTCTGTTATTCTTTTTTCTATTCTTTAAGGCTTTACTCCTTTACAGTTCTCTAAAACCTTGCTTCTAAAGCCTTCTTTTCTATTCTTTAAAGTCTCTTTCCCTAGACTCATTTTGTCCCATGTTTTCTCTTCAGTTTTCTTTAACATAATCTCTCGTAAAGTCTTTGCCCTCAGACTTGCACTGTCCCATCAGACTTGCACTGTCCCATGTTCTCTCTTTAGCTTTCTTAAAGTCTCGGCCCTCAGACTTGCAGACAAACAACAGCAGCTATGTCATTCAGTGGCAGTTCCCTCGCAAGCTGCCAACCAATTCTATGAACCCCTCTTTAGCAATTCCCCTTTAGCAATTCTCCTTCAGCAATTCTTTTCCCTTTAGCAATCCTCCCTTCAGCAGTTCTCTCTTCAGCAATTTATTTTCCCCCTTCAGCAATCTCCTTCCAGCAGTTTCCCTTCATCCAAAAACCCATTCAGCAATCCTCCCTCCAGAAATTTCCCTTCAGCCAAAAGACCCCCCATCAAAAAGCCTTGCATCCTCCTTCAGTGAGTCTTTTATATCCCGTGTTAAATGAGGAGGTGGAGCAACAGTTCTTGGAGAGAGGCATGACATTGTAACAGGAGAGACCTGCATTCCTGCTTCTCTGAAGGTAAACAACTTAGGCAAAGCAGCTGAGTTGCATCTCACCTTCTCACTGTCTTCTGTGACTGGGGCTGTGCCAAATCTCAGCCTACAGATTATTTGACATAAACATCTTAGGAAAAGCAGATGATCTGCATCTTACTCTTGCCCTATTTTGTGGCTGGGGCTGCGCCAAACTCAGCCTGCAGAATATTGAGTACAACTGTGCTTATGTGCTCATAGGCTTCTTCCCACAGATGGGAATCTCCTGGGTTTGCCCTCCCCATGGGTTAGTGTAGGTTTTAAAAACACCAGAAAAAGCATGCTCTCTCTGCTGGTGGACCCCACCTGCACCCCACCATGCTCCCTTTGTATTTCCTTCCCTAACTTTTAATAAACCCCCTTTATATACATGTGTTCTGCTTGGATTCTTCCACAGGGAAGCACAAAGACCAAGGTTTTCTGAAAACATCATTTTGCCATTAAAAAAGTTCATACCTGAAAGTGTCTCCAATACGGTCCCAAAAGTAAAGGAAATCCTCCTGATCTTGGACCATTAAGTCTCCTGTGTTAAAGTAAACATCTCCCTTTTTAAAAACATCAAAAAGCAATTTGCTTTTTGTGTGCCTGTAAGACCCAGCATAACCAAGGAAGGGATTCTTTGTGCTCACAGGAGAAATGAGAAGTCCAGGGTGCCCTGCAAGAGAAAAGAGCATTTTTGCAGCCATTAATTTTGACTATTGTTACATGCACCATGCATGTATCTAAATTGTATCTTGTCAACACAACTAATTGTACTCATCTTACTTCCCTTTGAATTTATTTGGATTCTATTTGGTGTCACTTACTTACTCTTAGTGCCTACATCTGGTACATCCTTTCATAATTAGCAGAAACACAAATTACTTTGGAAAAAACAATGAAAGGGGAATTGAATGTGAAGAAAATGTGCATTAAATTTCTTTTACATTCAGACTAATGGGTATTTTTTTTTACATTACACAGATTTTTAGCATAGGTAATGCTGACAGAAATATAAATAACATCTCTAATAATAATGTTAAAAAGTGATCATAGGAATAATTATTAAACAGCTATCATGATCACTTTGCAACTGTCATTTATTCTTTACAGAAATCCTCTGAAATGGATGTTCTAATTCTTATTTCACAAAAAATGAACTAATGCCAAGAGGGTAATGTAAGTTGTCTAAATCTATGAAAGAAATAGATCAAGAACCTACATTCAAGACTACATTTTTTGGCAACATTTCTGTAACATACTATCTCTGATCTGATTAATCCACTATTAAAAATTTAAGATGGCTTATTCCTCTGGTATGTTATTGTGGAAATTCCTGGAAGGGAAGAGATAAGAGGTTGAAAAAATCTCTATCTCATGTTGTTCATAATTTCCATTTACAGTTAGACACATTAATTGAAGTAATTTTTCCAATCAAACTTATTTAAACGAACCCAGATATTCTCAGCTGTCTGCAAGGTAAAAGTTACTTCCAAGAGAAGATAAGGAGATAAAGGAGAATAATATACTACACCAGAATCTTCAAGACCACTGTTTCTGGCTTGGCCTGCTGTGAAGAGGTGCTGTATCCATGCGAGTACTCAGAAGGGAATGCATTTCAGCAAGCTGCTAGCAATTTCTGTCATTTTAAGACTTTCCTTTCCTCCCATCCCTTCTGGACACATGGCTTCCAGGGGTACACATGCCTCTGGCCAAAAGACACATACTTTGCTCCAATAGAGCATTCTCATTTCCTTGGCCTTTAGGAAACCATCTTAGCAGCAGCAGTACCATCATTACTCCTCCTGAGCACTTTCTAGGTATTGGGCATTAATCTGAGGACTTTCTATATGTATTCCATCTAATCCTCACCACAAACCTGTAACAGAGGCCCTAATAAACCTTCATTTTACAGATGAAGAAAATAAGGAAGAAAAAAAGTAATTTGCTCAATGTAATAAACTGTCAAATGCAAGAGATGGAACATTTTTTAATAACAGGTGATATTCCCTACATTTCAGAATTTTCAAAGATTCTTTTGACTCTCTCAAAATTTATGTTCCTTGGTTTTCTTCTTCAGAACACAAGTATTACTTTCTTCTCTGACAAACTAATTATAGCAAATGCTTTAATGGGTCACAGTGTAGTCATATCTTTCCTGTCTAGGTGTAATTTACTTTGTAAAGACACAATGCCTTAAAGAAAAAAATATACAGAATAACTCGTAATGAAAATTCTAAAATAGCAAAGTAGATACTGGGGCTCAATCAGCTTAAAAAACTCTGAGAGGACATAAATACAGTTCTAAAATTCAAGTTCTAATATGAGATATTACTGTAATTATAATAAAACACCCTAGAAGGGTGTTTAAGTTCTTTGGAAATTGTATTTTTCTTAGGCATTATCTACAGAATTGAGTTAGAGGAACACAGTTGGTAGATGCCCTTGGGGCTTAACATTCAAAGATTTGGGAAATTTGTTTTATTAATAAATAAAGCTTATTTTTTCAATCTGTCAGCTTTTGAAGATAAAAAAAAACAGGTTTGCAACTTTTATTGCCACATTTGAAATAAGATTTGAGAAATCATCTCTGACATAGTTTAAGGCAATAGAAAGCAGTAAAAAGTAATTGTGTCCTCTTTAATATAAGATACCTAAACAATTCTAGTTGCTCACTCTATTTTTTATTTTCTAGTTTGATTATATGCAGTTTAATTGATATGTTTGCTTTTATTAAAATTTCTAGAATTGTTGGAAGGGGAGAATAGTGGAAGCAAGAGAAAAGGAAGGTAACAAGCCATAGAGATTTATATATACCTCACTTAATTGTCAGTAAAAGCCTCATGAAATAGTATCACCTCTACTTTATATATAAAGGAAGTGAGAGTCAGATTGACTCATTTATACACAGTTGCACAGTTCCTAAGGGTTAGAGTCCAATTTAAATCCAAGTCAGTTTGACTTTTCATTGTATCTAGAATGACATAGTAGTTAGCTAACTTTATGTTGCTTGGTGATTTAGGATATTAGACATATGCCACTATTACAAACTAGAAGTGGTGGCTTAAGAAAACACGAACCAATGTGTAACTACTTTTATATTTTAATAATTTACCAGCTGAATAAGTTGAGGCATCTAATATCCAATAATTAAGCCATTCTTCCTGCATTAAAAGTCTAAGTAAGTCAAATTACACGAGAACTAGTAATTTTTTTTCTTTCCCAAATTCAGTAATAATTACAGGACAAACAAGTTTGGACACTTTGTTTAAAGAGACATTGTCAAATATTTGTCTTACCTTTTTTCACACGGATACACCAGTCCTGTTCATTTCTCATGGGTTCATCTTTCTGAAAATCATACTTTATCAATTCAAAAGGGAAAAAAAGCTGGAAAACCAAAATCAAGCAAATAAAAGCAAACATTTAGTTACTTGTGCAATGACATCTGTTAATAGATTTTATGTTCAATTGGAGTAAATAACTAGAATATGGTTTCATTAAAATAATTTTCACTGATAAAAAATTAAATATTTGAAAGTCAAAACTGAAGGCATTAGTAAATAGCCCTCCCTACTCTCTTTTACTTTCATTTATTCAAATTGCATTTCACCTTAGTAAAACACCACTAAATATTAATCTTTAATGACTGATATGAAATACAGAAGCAATTCATCATTCAATTATTTATTCTGCTAACTATAGACAGGAGGTATATTTTCAATAATTTAAAACATGTTTTGAAAAGGAAAGTTTTGGGGCGGGGATGGTATTGAAGTTTGAACTCAGGACCTTGCACTTGCTAGACACACTCTACTGCTTGAGCTATGCTTTCAGCCATGAAAAGGAAAGTTTTAGTAGAACTAAAATCTAAACTATGAATACCAGGAAGTTTTTGTGTATTTTTTCCTCACAGCCTTTAGAAAAGTGATCAGATTCCTAAGAAGTATGGTTTCTTTGTTTTTTATCTTTATTTATTATTGTTGTACTGGAGGCACACTGTGACACTTACCTAAGTTCTTACAATATATCATCGATGAGTTCACCCCCTCCATCTTCTCTTTTATTTTCTTTCCCCCATTCTTGGAACTGTTTCATGTTTTCATTTTCATACATAAGTACATAATATTTCTACCACATTTCATCCTTCTTTCTATACCTTTTCCCTGCATCCTCCTCCTCCCACTAGTGCCAACCCCCAGACAAGACCTGTTTTACCTTCCTGTCCTCCCTTTTTAAAAAAAGACATTTTTATTTGTGTAAGGTAGCTATGTGGAAAGTTTCCTTGTGATAGTTCCATGTATATATGTATTATAACCAGAATTAGTTCAGTTCCTCTATTTTCCTAACTGCTTTAGACTTTCCCCTGGGTCTTTTCTTTAGAAGTACTAAATTCAGTACTTCTTCATGCTATTGTGATGTGAGATGACAAATTTGTTCAAAAATCCTTATAACATTAAAAAACAAGCTAATTGGATGTCTCCCCTCGACTCCAACTATAGATTGCTTCAGTCCAACCCATACACTGAGGTTGCACTGACCAACTAAATAATTAATCTTATTGAGCTGATTTAGAAAGTAACAAATTAGGTAATAAAATTCAATAAGAGAAAATAATAAGACAAACAGGAGAGAGAAAGGAGGGGAAACAGGAGGAGATGAATAGAGAACAAAAAAGTGTGAAGAGAATAAGAGTAGTGAGATAAATATAAAAGTGTTACTTAGTATCAAAGACTAAATGTGAACATCTCTTGTTTTTAATCTTAGTACAAATCAGCATGTAACTAGAATCACAATTAATTATTTGGGTTAAAATATAAATGAGAGCAACTAATATTAACTGAGCATTTTTTGTATGCCAAACATAATGCTAGGAATTTAAAGAGTTCTATTTTATTTAAGCATCAAAGCATTGTATGAAGTAGAAACTAGCATTACCCTATTTTAAGATTAAGGCCAATGGAAGAGGCAACAAATCACATGCATTGTTATTCTAGATATAAAGATTCTTTATTAAAATGCAAGCTTGCATTTTGTTGGCTTTATCTGTAACTGGACTAATAGGATATTGGCCACTTTCCTAAGAGCTGTTAGAAAGATTCCAGAAGTTCTGAATTGCCTTCATCATCTTGGTCAAGCAGCAACAGAGTGCTGCTCATTACTAATCATGTTCTTTTCTTTTAACAACATGCTTTATGTTTGAAACATCTGACCAGCAACGTGTGATGTGATACCAGCTTTACTGTTATTTAGATTAACTTGGCAATGATGTGCATGGGTGAGATTCACTCATAACAAATTGCTGTTCAGTGTGTCTCTTATCAGATACAGAGGGTGTTGATGGCCGGAAATTGAGTAATTGTATAACTCAAATGAAATTACATATATTACAGCTTCTTCTAAGAGTAACCTGGATTGGAGCATTAAATGTTCATCTAGATGTATTTCTAGTTCTTCCTACTTTCAAGAGGTACCTGTGAGCTTACAACAATGACTTTATTATGATGACACTGAAAAAATAGATATCAGACCTGAAATCTTCTAAAAGTACATATATATGTATATGTGCACCTGTCTAGAGCACAGTTGCAGGAGGTCCCATTCACAACAATCTCGACAGATGACTTCTCTAGAACTGTGCAGGCCACTCTTACTTACCCATTGCCCTGGGAGTTCCCTTACATACCTATGTGCCTTTGTATCCTTTGATTCATAAATTTATATATTAGAAAATGAACACAAAAATCATTTCTTCGATGACCACATGAGAAGATTTTGCTGGGGAATGTAACTCATCAAAGTCACAAAGTCAAGTAGTGGCAGTGCTGATATTAGAACTGGAATATGAGTCCCTATGTAGAAAAGAATTCAACCTTGCCAGAAAAAAAAAGATGCCTGACCTTCACCCTGAGTTTCTGGGAGGTAATCGCTATGTCCATGAGTGTCATTCTTGATAGGAATGTCTTTATTTGTTTGAGATGAGAAATCTTGAGTTAGTACTGTTAAGTTAGATTCTTCTAGACATTTGTCTAACTCATCTAATAATTTCAGATTTACTGATATGGACTCATTCACTATGTCCTCTTATCATATTAATATCTATCACAGCTGTAGTGAGTCCCCTTTCTATTCCTAATATTGGTTATTTGCACCTCCTCTTTATCCATCAATCAAAATCTGTTTCTTTATTTTTAAAAAATCATATTTGCATTTCTGTTTGACATCCCTCACTAAATATTTTTCTATTTCATTCATTTCTGCTCTTTTATTATTTCATTTTTAATTTTTTTTATTTTTAAAAATTGACATATAGATATTTAGCACCATCCAACTAATTTTTGGCTGTTCTTCACTAAGTGTATGACTTTTTAAGTATAACGCTTTTACTGTGATTCAACATCTTCTAATTTCCATTATTATTTTCTTCTTTGATCCACACTAATTGGACATGTTTTATTTCCAAAAATATAAGTTATCTAGTTGTCTTTTTAAAATTTTATTTTTAATTTCATTAAATTGTAACCAGACAATAAATAAATAACCGAATCTTTGAGATTTAAGAATTTCCTAATTGGACCAATATTTTTGTTCATGTTTGTAAGTGCTTGGGAAGAATGGGGATTCTTTGTTAGACACATTTTCCTGTAGGTATCAGTTAGTTCCAGAAGCTTATTTACTGTATTGTTCAAATACTCCACAACACCAAGGAACTGTTTATTACCCCTTGAAGACTTTTTGGTGGATTTTGTTTAAAACTTTAGAAAGTTTATTTTCACCTTTTTCTTAAAAAATATTGTTGTTATGCATAGATTTGAGTTTGACAGTTATTTTCTCTAAGGCAGTTGAAGATGCCTGTTTATTGTCTTTTGTTTTTCACTTTTGCTGGAGCAATCAGCTGTCATTCTTTTATGCCTAAAAAGGTGATTTTTTTTTTTTTGGCTGCATGTAAGAATATAGTGGTATCTTGATTTAGTTTCTAAACAAACCATATATTACATATCTATACATATTTTTAAATTGTGTACATGATGAAAAATAAGTGGGAACAATGGAAGAAAAACACTCAAGGAAAATGGAAAGAGTAAAATTAGTGTAAATCAGAATTTAAACCTACAATTTTTATGTTATATCATTAAATGTGAAAGCTGAACAACAATTAGGTATTATTATCCCCTTTTCATAGAAGGAAAACACTACAGCACTTGGAGTACCTACAGACACTACTCTACTTATAAAAGTCCTCAATTTAAAAAATAGTGACAATGTTTACCATAATTTATAGGCACAGAATCTAGAGTTAGCAAAGAGCAAATATCAACATGTTTCCTTTGAGAAAATAATGTACTTACTTTGTAAAAAAAATTTGTTCTCCCCACGGATCCAATTTTCCCAGTGTGGTTCATGAAACTGATGCTTCCTTCAGTAGCTCCATAAAGTTCACACATCTTAATATTTCCAAATCTGTCTAAAAATTGTCTCCATACATCACTCCGTATGCCATTTCCAATTGCCAAACGTACCTGATGATCCCTTTCTTCTTCTCTCTGTTAGAAGAAAAGATCTTGCTTGTAATCAATTCCAGTTGCTACTTCTTTCTTTCCTTATTATTATTTAAATATAAAATATCCTAGAGGTAAGCTGCATATGTGCAATAGTGGAAGAGAAGTAAAAACAAATCCAGTAAGCCTGTTGTAGAACTGTGTCCAATAGCTGATGAAAGTAACATTGGTTAAGGGGAATTGAGCTTGTATTTTCTCATATCTGGGAAAAACTTTCTAAATTTCAGACTACTGAAGTCCTTTTTGGTAGATATCAGATAAGGAAGAAAGTATCTTTCAGGATAAATAGTATTATTTTTATAGTATTATAAGACATATTTAACTTTACTCTCCATGTTATATCATTTATTGATAATATAATTTTGAACAAGATGTTGATTTTCACTCTAATTCTGTTTACTCATAGGTTAGAAAAAGGATAATACCCAGCTCGTGTATATACTGCAGTCTACTACTATTTCCTAACGCCTAGCTTAGAGTGAACAATAAATTTGAGGCCACAAAATCAATGTAATACTTGACTTACAACTATTATGACAATTATGTGGAAATATTATTTTAGAATATACAATACGCTCAGATTTTTTTGTAGTTCATACATTCACATTAAATTTGGTATTTCAAATTCAATGTATTGTATATTCAAGAAGCCCTTTGATTAACATGAATTATATACAAGTCTAATAGAATGAGAAAAATATATTACCAGTGTAGTCATAATAAATCCATGATTTGCTCAGAGCTATCTCTATCATCATTAAAAGTAAGACAAAGTAACCAGAAGTAATAATAAATAGACAACAATGAACTAGAGAAATCAGTATCCCTTTACTTAAAATTTAAAATGATTGATTGATTGATCATCTTATGTGTCTCAAGTTCTTTTCCAAGCACCAGTAAAATGGTTTTAAACAGAAAGATTTTCATCAATAGAGTCTCATAAACACAGAAAAGTGAGCAAGAGGTAACTCTGGAAACTAAAGAATAAGTACATGGTAGGCATGTGTCTGAGCAGAGCGGATAAAGCTGATAACTAAGCCTGCAGGCAGCACCCACCAAATTCTCCTAAAGGGTCAAAAAAGCATCAAAAAAAGCCAGGAAGGCAGAAAGCACAGTTAGAATTTTTTTCTTTTAAGAAACAGCTATATCACTAGATATTCCAATAAATTAAACCATCTGAGAGTGTGCACTTGATACACATTGGCCAAACACTAGAGAGTTACTCTCTGCAGAAGTGCAGACAGAAAGACACAAGTTTAGAGTATCTGGAGTGAGGGACCTACTGAAAACAAACACATTAAGTGAAAGCCTGCATATTAAATAAAGAGCTCACTGAACTCTTTCCCTGTTCTAACCTTAGAACTCTAATACCCAGAATTATAAACCAGAGCAGGACACTGTGGAGTTATTATCAGAGAAACTGATCAACCTAAGAGAAAATATACTGAGTTTTGGAAATACTATAATAAAACATCTTTTTTTTTTTTTACAATTTCATCTATTTTATTAGATTCCAATTGCTTACCAGCATACATTGTATAGGTTTTTAATTGTAATGCACATACCACCTAACAATCTTCTTTTTCCTTTAATATATTATGAGATGATCTCTATCAATAAAACATCTGGGTCTCCCCTAAATCACCCTAGAATCTGACTCTTTGGTGACAGATTCCATACATGTGTAGCTAAGTACCTCGTTATGAATATAATTAAAGTGTGCATTTTTAAGGATGAAAAATATATAAAAATTAAAGATATATGGGCCAAAATAAGAATTTTTAAATATATAAGAATAGTCCTTCAGAACAGTAAAAAGAAGGAAAAGTAGTATGTGAAGAAATTTTAATTAAAAACTCTCCAAAAGTGATGGGAAACATCAAACTATGTATTCAAGATCTAAAAAGTCAGAGAGGCTAGGAAAATATGCTTGGATATTTTCTGGCAAGATTGGTGGGAAGAAAAAATACAAAAATAACAGAAAGAGAGAAAGAGAGAGCTTTAAAACCTGCCAAAAAATAGACCTGCTGAGTCTATTACTGAGCTGTATTCCCAGCTCTTTAGTTATGGGATTTCAGTCTTATTAATTACCTGTGTGCCCTTTATAGCATTTTATAGTCCATGAGAGTGTTTTTCATAACTAAAGGCAAAAGGCATGTTGCCTGATAAATAAAAACTAAAAATGATGTTTTTAGTAGAGTGATGGTAGATGGAACACTAATGGATATTCTTAACACAAAAGAAAAATAATATCCTGTAGGAACATATAGAAAAACAAAAAGCAGGAAGCAATGAAGAGACCAGAATGCAAATATAAAAAATTAATGGAGGGTCGAGTGGGTTGATGCCTTTGTGCAATCCCAGCTATTCAGGAGGCCTAGGTAGGATGTTCATGGTCCAAGGCCAGTCCCAGGCAAAGATGCGAGACCTTACCTGAAAAATAACTAAAGAAAAAGGGTCTGGGGGTATGCTGTAGTGCCAGAGTGCCTGCTGAGCAAGCATGAAGCTGAGAGTTCAAAACCCAGTACTGACAATAGAAATTAATGTTAATAATGCTTTCAAGATCCTGAATGTGTGGAGTTAGGTTAGATGAAAACAAGAACAAGAAAGATTAAAAACAAATGGAATTTAAAATTCCTTATACTGTCAAATAAGTGGGAAAAGTACTATTTTGAGATAGAATTTAGAAAGAATGAGTTTTACTCTTTAATGCAATAAAAGTATTCAGTGAAAAAAGTTTATAAAGAAATAAACTAAAAATGAAAGAATATCTTTCTAAAAAGCTAGTCAATGAAAAAGAATTAATAATAATAATAAAAATATAATTTCAAAAGGAGAGAAGAAAAGTGGAAAATGAAACAAACAACAGCTGAACCATCGCAATGAAAATAGCATGACAGAAGACTTGGCCCAAATATATCAGCAAACACGTGAAACACAAATGGGCTAACTCCTGCCTTGGAAAGACTCTCAGCATAAGAAACACATCTTAAATGTCAGATGACTCAAAACTTGAGTGTAGCTGGATAGAAAAAGATACACATGTAATCAGCCGCCAAGAGGAAGGTGGCATAACTATACATCTACTAATATCAGACATGGCAAACTTTAAATAAAGAAACAGTTCCCTTAACTTTATTCAGATATGTCTTGACTACAATAAAATTAATTCAGATATCAAATACCAAAAGAAAACTAGAAAATCTCTAATTATTTGAATACCCAACACAATTTTAAACATCGTATGGATAAAAGAGAAAGATTACCAGGGAAATTAGAAACATCTTTTAACTAAATAGTAAAAGCTAAGACAGTAAAAATTAAGTCAGTACATATCAAAAGGAATACTTTTGGGAAAATTTATAGTGCTGAAATATTTAAATAGTTATGATTAATGTTCTCTTTCTTTCATTTCCTCAAAATTAACAAGAAAAAGGACACACAGAAAAACAGACAAAAACCTATTGGGAGACAATTCTTCATGACTTAAATTAGTATATGTGTGCATATGTATGTATGTGTATAATAAATATATGATCTCATATACAGTCTGACTCAAGGAAATTATACAACAAATAATATTTATTAAACTTGTGTTATACGTAAATAGTTGTCTAATAGGTATATTTTTGTAATATAGGTGTGGATACTTATATATATATGTACATGGATATACGTGTAATTAGAATCACATGGAATGATTGATATAATTAATTAATAATTAGACTATGAGACTCTTTGCAAGCATGTTTGTATAACAAGAAGCCTTGCAAGCTACAGATAGATTTTGGGTGACAGAGAAAATTTATTTACATTTTATGACAGTAAACTCTCCCTCTTTTCTGAGAGAACATTTCAGGTGTAAAAGAAGTACAGCTCACCAGCAGCTGCTTATGTAACTGAGAACTTTGTAAGGGTGGTATTCCTTAGAGACAAGTCCTTCACCTAGGCTCACCTCTGCCTTGCCCCCATTGGGACATGGGATGGGAGACTGTTGTATACATGAGATGTAAACAGAAGCTTGTGATACCTTCTGTGCAGAGAGTAATAAACTATACATTCATCTGAGCTCACTGTTCCCTTACCAATCAATTTCATGGAAGTGTGTTTGAGCCAAATAAACACCATGCTGCTGTTACTGCTTGAGTGCTGGACAAAGTGTTGAGTGAGTATTCCTTCAAAAAAGTTCAATCATACATCCAATAACTATATGAAAACATCATTAATCATTAGAGAACTACAAATCAAAATGCCACGGGATGGCAATAAATTTATAAAAATAGCTACCTATTTCTTCTTTAACACTACAAATTTTCCACCAAGTGTTGGCAAGGAAGTGGGCATTTGGGACGTTAATAGACCATGGGTAAGGTGTATATTATTACTGACATCACTTTGATAAAATGTTTGGCCACAGCTGTTAATGCTGAGGTTTTGCATATAATATAATCTACTAACTTCACTTCTGATTATATACCATGGAAAATACATTTGCCAAAAGACATATGCGAGTGTGCACAGCATCAAACATGTTAAGTCTCAAATGGAAGCAACACAGATCCATCGAAAAGATTTTCTTAAAAAATAGATCTTATAATAGATTTTTAAAATGTGTTCTCTTATAGAAACAGAACACTTTTTACTGCTGCCACACAAATCATCCCAAATGTAGCAGTTTATAACTAAGCAAATTTATTATCCCAAAATTTCTGTAGGTCAGAAGTCCACATTAGCTCAACTGATTTGTGTGATCCAGGACTTACAAAGCTAAAATCAAGGTGTGAACTAGCTGGCCTGTTATCAGGAACTCTTGGAAGTATACACGTCCAGACTCTTCTTGGCAGAGTCTAGTTTTAGAGGTCATCTGCTTGGAGCTTCAGAGCCTACACTCCAGCCCTTGCATATGGGCCTCTATATGCTAGAACAAGAAATAACACATGACTTCAAAAATCTCCAACTTCCCTTCTGCCAAAATCAGAGGAAGT